CTGCTGGGGCTCAGGGCCGGGTGCTGGGTGCTGGTGCTTGATGGCTGGGGGATGTCCCTGTAGTGGTCCCCCATGCCCGGGAGGTGCCAGGTTTGGCTGAGCCAAAGCAGGGGTGCTGGAAGGGGTTGTGGGGAGCCCCTCCGGCCCCCCCTCTCAATGTCCCCCCCTGCAGAAGCGTGAGGCTTTCTGCCAGCTCCTGCAGCTGATGAAGAACAAGCATTCCCACCAGGATGAGCCTGACATGATCTCTATCTTCATTGGCACCTGGAATATGGGTGAGAAGGGCGGGGGAAGCCCATGGTGGAGTGCCGAGACCCCGGGGTGCCCCCTAACCATGCCGTCCCCCTTGCAGGCAGCGTCCCCCCCCCTAAGAGCATCACCTCATGGTTCACCTCCAAGGGGTTGGGCAAGACCCTGGATGAGGTGACGATGGCCATCCCCCATGACATCTACGTCTTCGGCACCCAGGAGAATTCCCTGGGAGACAAGGAGTGGGTGGACTTCCTGCGCACTGTCCTCAAGGACTTCACGGAGGTCGAGTACCGCCCGGTAGGAACCGGGGGCTCCGGGGGATCCTGGGGACTGCAGTGTGCAGGCACCAGTGGGTGGTGGAGGTGGGCGATGCTCGGTGTCCCTGGGGTGGCTGTGCTCTGGCTCTGTGACACAGGGTGCTTTGGGGTCCTGTCGTGGTGCTGGGTGGCTGTTGGTGCTCCAGTTCTGCTGACACCGGGTATTTTAGGGTGCTCTCCTGGTGCTGGTAGCTGTGGGTGCTGATGGTGGTGGAATTCCTGGGGAACAGCCCTGGGCGGGAGAGGCTGGGGTGGAGCTGTGATGAGCAGCAGCTGTGGGTGCACCCCCCATGGCCCGGGGGGGCCCCATGGCGTGCTGGCAGGGGCTGAGGATGCCGGGGCCGGCAGGTGGCCATGCAGTCCCTGTGGAACATCAAGGTGGTGGTGCTGGTGAAGCCGGAGCACGAGAACCGCATCAGCCACGTCAGCACCTCGAGCGTCAAGACAGGGATCGCCAACACC